TTTGAATATTTTATATAAATTCGTATGATATATGTATAATATAATATACTAGGACGTACATTTGATACTTTTTATCAGCTTTTGATTCTTGTAGATTCATAAAACTTTGTTTACTAGCATACAAACTATAGTTAATGGGCTTTATTTTATACCCAATTATTCTTTATTATTTATTTATAACTTTKGAGTATATAATACATTTCACTATTCGGTAGTTGTTCTTATATGCTCTAATATGCTATAGAAGAAAAGTCTTAAGTATGAGAGAAACATAATAGATTTTCCGAAAAATCAATAACAATAAATATCCTGTATCCAATCATAAAATTTTTATTATTTTAGAGATTTATACCAAAAAATATAGTATGATGTGTACATTTATATATTCAAAATAGTGTAAAAATTATAATTTTCTATTTTATACATTCGTTACTTTCTTTGATATGTTATTTAAAATGTCATAACTAACAGGTTTTTATTTCATGCTAAATTCTCGTATCTACCCAAAGATAGATTTTGTATTGTTGTGGTATAGGTAAATCGTAAAACTCGTTTTTGATAAAAAATAATAATAAGGACTGGTATATAATCATATATTTTTAAATTTTTATTTACATCATAAGCTCTTACATTCAAGTGTTTACACTGTTCACTGAGCGTGTATGACAAAAACTCCGCGAAAACATGATTTTTTGTTTAATGCATAGTATTTAATTTAAAAAAGAACTGACAACTTTAGATACCTAAAATTGAATTGTTTTAAAAATAATATATTCAAATTATATGTTTATTCGAAATCAATGTGTCGTACATAAAATTATATTTTATTAAATATTAAGTATGTGGTCTTTTATCATTTTCTATAGTTATAAATTTATAATATATTATATTCATTGTTTTTAAATACTCCCAAATGTTCTAAGACACAATAACCAACATCAAGTATTCAATAATTATACTAGTATGTATTTATTCATTTATTATTTGAATTAGATTAATGCATCAAATACAATGTTTATTACTATAATGACCTGTG